TAGAATAAATGAAACAAGTGCTTCTTAGCAGACCTGACTACCTGTGACAATGCCGAGCTGCTCGTTGCAAAGTGGAAAGACGTCTATAAAATAAACCCAACCGGAGGTATTCTATGATTCTATGTTTTGGTGCAGTAAGAGTAGCAAACACTTCCCTCCCCGCAGCTGAGGTTTCGAGGCTGAATCGATGGGGAATCGGCGTACCTGCCCACCCACGCTCCTCTATTGAAGATACAACCACCACTTTTTAAACCACTTCCCCTTCTCTCTTCTCCCCTGAGCAAGCCCAGAATCATATCTGTGTGGAAGTCTGCGTGTTATGTTCATTCAGAAGAGATGTATATGCGTTACGGAAGAAAAAATAGTACCTTTTTTTAGCTTTTTGGGTAAATCAAAATAATTCGTTCTTTAAGATCAACTTTTGCAAAAGAAAAAAAAAAGTGACAAAAATTATTTGTGACAAAGATTATTTTTAAGCATTTTCAAATATATGCATTAATTTTGGGAAAATGCAAGCAAGAAATCAATACTGAATTGCTATATATGTAAAAAAAAAAAAGGTCCAAAACCATGTCCAAAGAGAAAGAGTGAATCATGGTTCTAATTTGCTGTAGTAACTGTCAATGAAATTGTTGCACCTTGAGTCTTGAGTAGATTTCAAAGTTCCTTTAGGCTGTCCTCACTGCAGTCAAGTTCAGAGCAAGGAAAATTTTAAGTATATAAGGCAGTAGAAGCTAAGTTCTTTCCCTTAAAATAGAGAGAAGTTGTCTATCTATCTCTTTCATTATTAACCAGAAGCATATGGAGAGTGCACTAAGAATTTTTAATTTTAATTGTATTTCATCCAAAATCATTCCCTGGTTCACTCTGAAGTTTCTGAAAAAGACTCCAACTCCCAACCACTATGAGTTCCACCGAGTAGTTTTAAAAACAAGAGATTCTTTTACTGAAGTGTATAAATGCAGAAAGCTCACTAATTTTTCTGTTTCTAGTCTTTCTTCAACATCTGGGAAAAATGAAGTCTGTTCACATAATATTGATTTTAGTAGGCAGCGCGTGTGCCGAATCCTCGATTACAACAGTAGTGTGAATACAAGAATATAGTGCTGCTTTTCTCTCTCCTTCTGGTGGCTGAAGTCTTCTTCTGCAAGTCTTGAGTTGAAATTGAAATAAATGTAGTAATGCCTACGGTATAAGATACAAGTTTGAGAATTAAAGCGGAAGAAAACAGTCATTCAATACAGCTCTGATTTTCATAAACTATACTTTGGCCACAAGACAGATATTTCCAGTACCCTTTGAAGATTTAGCCACCCTCATATAAAATTGCTATTTTCTCTAAAGGTATAGTAATATTTGGGTGTTTAAAAAAATAGAAAAAGTCTACTTGTAGCAAGACTTTTGCTAGTGCCCATGGTCTACATAATGCCATTAACTAGAGTAGAATTTAGCCCATGTGATGTCTTAACTATTCTTTATGAAGTCCTTAAGAGGAAATCCTGCTTCTTAGAAAGTAATAAAGGAAGGATGATCACGTTTGGCAGAAATGCTCCAAGGAAACTGTTATTAAAATTGGAAAAAAAAACCTCAAAAATGTATACAAGATTGCTCAGAATCAATACGTGTGTTTTCAGGGGGAGGCATTTCTTCTTAGAGAATTCAGAAACTGTGCAAATGAAAGGAAAAGGAAAGGATTAATTACTTTAAAGATGTGAGTGGACTAGACATCTGTACATATTGCGTTTTAATATATGAATCCAGACATAGGCATGAAATGAATTCAGTAACTTCTTGAGTACAAGAACGTCTATTTTAAAGGTCCTCAGCCCAACCAAAGCCTTATCTCTGTGGTATAGAGTGCGTTCAACTTGTGTGGTGACTGGAGAGCCATTCAAAGCAGCTTAATGCGTAGCTGCTAGCGAAACCACAGAGATTACAAGTTTGATTCGTTAAAACTGTTCTCTGCTAGCTGGGTGGATTTTTCATGTGGGATATAATTTTATGGAGGAGTGGACTCGGACAATTCTTTATAAACTTCTTCTCTTGTGAGAAGTTGGATGTGTCCGTTTCACTGCAGGGCGCACGGTACAAAGAAGACAAACCCCAAACCAGATCAATGGTATCGACAGTACACAACGTGTTTGTAGCGGTTAAATGCGAGTGCTGCTGTGCGTTGAATGTTCAGGTTAATTACTAGATTACAGTGATGTACTGCCCCAGAAGGTCTATTTTTGAGAGGTGTTCTTCTCATAGTGGGAACTCTCTCCTCCATTTCATGCGATAGACTTGGAAAGAAAAATGTGAATGAATGCACCTCTTTTGCTGTAAACTGGTGAAGTCTTCAAGCATAGCGTGTTTTGCAAGGAACAGCGTGATGAGGAATGCAGTTGTAACGAACCTACCTCTTGCAAACAGCCTGTGCTGCTGGTATCCCCGTGCCCTTCCCAAAGGTGACCTGCTGGGAAGAGGAATGGGGTAAACAGGTGTTTAGAGCTACTGATGCTTTTTGAAGTCTTTGACACAAAGGTTACGGTGGGAGATTGCTTCTGGATGTCGCACTTTTCCTGGATTGCTCAGCAACCTCAGTTTTAACTCAGTTTTGATGCAAATGGTTATCCCTAATATGACTTTCAAATGATTATTTTTGTTTTCCACATAAAATACCTGTTTAGTGCCATTTCTCGTGACATGTTAATGAAGAACTAAGGAATAAATATCGCCAACATTTTATAAATGTGAGCATTGTTATGTTGACAGATCTACTAATCCGTGTGTGTCATGCCTTTCAGGTATATGTCACATTTATGTAAAAATAGGTACTTTTTAGAAGAAAAGAGTAACCTCCTCCAGCGGGCTGCTACTTAAGCTTGTTCCTTTTCCCCCACTTCCCAATGTAGAACGATCTTCCAGAGCTCCCACTGTAGGAATTTAATTACTAGTTTCATTTCTACAAATATTGAAAATTGAATCCCTTTAGTAACTTTCATTCTTTATCAAGAATATTTTCAGAAATGCCTCTCTTACATGGAAGCCTATGTTCAACTTTCAAAAGTCTCGTGAAATCAGTGAGCCATAAACCTTTAATTCCATGAGTCCAACTTCTGAAAATGGAAAGCAGACATGTTGAAAAAGCTTAAGCTATTACTGATTTCCAGAGAGAAAGAGTTTTTCCTGATAGTTTTAAAAGCACGTCCTATATTTTTTTCGGACAAGGAAAAAAAAAAAGTCCTTTTCCTCCCTGTTGTCTAAAATCTATTAGTGCTCACATATACCTGACATTGGCCTCCTCTGGAGGTAGGATACTGGACTAAATGGAGCATTTCTTTGTTCTGGCTCGGCGTATATTTGTAATAGGAGCTATCAGAAGGGAAGAGGTGTAATATTCGCTTTGAATTAAAAGGAAAATGAATAGTGGAAGGGGAGAAATCTGAGAGAGAAGAGCCAGCAGTGAACTGTGTAATGGGATGGCTGAGATGGAATAGAGCTATTCCTGATATTTTATTGCGTAAATCTTGTTTGTGTTACCCACACTTTGAAGGACAACTCATGAGTCTCCATGTCTGTTTTAAGTATTTAGCAAATGCATGACGTACAAGCCCTCAGTTATGGTCAAAATCTTAATGACTACAATTTTTTTTTTTTTTCTGATTCATGTTTACTTTATATTCTCCAGTCCAGCATGTATGTGATGGTAGGAACAGGCTCTTGTTGGAGTGCAGAAAAAAACCCTAAAAATTCAACTTCTGAAGGGTGGTAGAAATACAGAAAACTGAAAGTAACCAAAAAAAAAAGCTACTATGTGAAGTGATCCCATCTGGCTTCTCTCATCATGAAAGAATTACAACTTATGTTAGCAGTATTTTGAAACCACTGTGATATAATGAATATATATATTTTAAAAGAAAAAAAAATCATTAATATTTAACATTGAAAACATTTAACAGGAAATATTGTTATAGTAATTGAGTTATTCTTAATTTAAGAATAACTATCATACGGGGTGGTATAAATACAGTACTGTCAACAAGAATAGGAAGTAATCTTACTTAAATGAAATATAGTTATATTCTTTGCGCTTCTTCTTACTTTTTCTTACTGTAACAGTAAGACTGTGTAGGGACAGGTAGGTTGACTTATAAGAAAAATGCAGGATTTTGAGTGGTTGCAGAGTCCCACAAGAAAAAGAACTGACTGCTTTAAAACAGTTGTGTTGGGCAGTGGTGAGGTTGCCTTAGTGTGCCGAGAAGGAATACTCCTGGCAGCGTTGTTAAGAAACTTCTCTATATAAGTATCACGCAGAGAGTTACGTTCATGGTACTTCTTGTGGCAGTTGAACCGGAAATCTGGCAGCATCCAGATTTCTCAGAACTATAAAAAAGTTATTTAAGGGAAATTGAATGCATGCACATGCATGACTGCTATTACACACAGCGGGTTTAGACGTGTGTGTCTACACACAGATTTTTTTAATTTCTGTGGAGTATTTGTTATCTGGTTTTAGTCCCCTTTAAACATAACTTAGAAATTCTCATAAGCTTTATCAGTGCAGCATCCCCACAGTGTAACAGACATCCTAGAACACTAACTTCAGAACTTGAGTGGCTTCAGAGGCTGCCTTCCCACTGCGACCTGCTACCGCCAGCGTTTCGGAGCCCTGTTTCACACATGCGCCATCCCTTGGTGATGCTGCTTCTGAATATACCATTGAAAAATTCACCAGGACTAACTGTAAAATATTTAAGAGAACTACAAACAAGTGTGTATCTTTCATGCCCATGAAGTTGCAGTTTTACTGAAAAAGGAAAAATTCTCTGCAACCAATATTTGCGTCTCAAGAATTGGATTCCTTATTATATACCATATAATACATGTAAAACCAGCTTGAGTTCTTTAGCTGAGTAGAGCATCTGCCTGAGGAAGCGGCTAGCAGTTCAGTTATTTGTATTACAATTGCACTCACTTCTGAGCTTTTTTTTCTTCCTTTTGTTTTTATTTGGCAGATGTACAGCAAATAGCGATCGACTGGATCACCGGAAATTTTTACTTTGTGGATCACATCAGTGACAGGATCTTCGTTTGCAACCAGAACGGCTCAGTGTGCATTACCCTCATCGAGCTGGATCTCAGTAACCCTAAGGCCATAGCTGTTGACCCAACATCAGGGTAAGGTTGTTTATCTGCATTAGGAAATGTTTATTTTGTATGATGTGTGCTTGTTCTGCGACTGCATATAGTATATCTGTTTTCATTCCGGTGTTTTAAAAACTATATTTGCATTGTTGCATTGAGTTATTTGCATAGTTGCTATAACAAAACAGTAACGTGTAGTGAACTTGTAGCGAGCAGTTAGCTATATTAATTGCAACATGTGCCACCGTCTCAAAAATGGAACCGAAAATGAAAAAACAGTTTTATGCCTACTTGTCATAAGATTTTCTTTTGCCTCTGTTTTTCTGTAAACTGTGTTTCTAACTAGAGTATGTGAAAAAGGAACTTTTGAGGGGTTTTTAAACTATATCCTCTCAGTTGCAAGAATATTAGAAATGGCTTTAATGAGTTTAATTGCATAAAAAAGTGGAAGAAATTTTACCCTGCTTTGGAGGGTCAGCTATAATGGTAAGATTGCATTGTATTTGCTTTTTTTCTTCCATAGATATGTTCAGCATCAGTTGGGAATGAAACCTAGCTTAAATACAGGGTACTAAAAGTCTTCCGTTCTATAAAAAACACCAGCTGGGAAAAGTTTTTAAGCAAATGCTGAAGTAAAATCATAACTAAATAGAAATAGGAATAGGATCAAGGTAATTCAAAAACTAAATTTTGGTGAGGATTTTAGAACAGGGATTTTATCTTGGTTTTATTAGTCTGTAAGTAGTGTAGATTGAAATGCCTGGTGGAATACGTCCTAAACTGCCATAAGCCCCTTCTCAATAAATACAAAAATATTTACTGTAGAACAGCTTGTCATCCATATGTGGACTTTTGTCACTCTATTTAAAGCCTGATTGAATATTAAGATGCGTTATCACAATGACTTTAATTCTGACAAGAACAGCTTGCATGTAAAGTTTACAAAGAAGTTTTATAATGTAATTCTTGAATATAGCTGTATTTCTGTCTACAGCAGATGGTAAGCTTGACTTGATCTGACTGCAGAGTTGTTTTAAAAGAAAAATAAAATTTCATGTTTAAATTGATTTTCCTGCAAGTTCTGATCTAAAAGAACTTTCAGCTTTTAAATTTGCCAACAGCAGCCTTTTCTTTGTACACTCGCTTGTATATTCTTTGCTGGATTTACTGGAGGAATCCAAAGCTTGTCATTAGTTAATCTTATCTGTCAGGGATGCAAGAATTTTATCTGACCCTTTGATTCTGTGAGGAGGGGTGGAACGGAAAAAGAGGGACTGGTTTTCCTTCGTTTGTTATCTGCTAGCTACAAACCATTTTTATTCAGTAGCTGCGTTTTCCAGTGCCGTATATGAGAGTAATAGTGTCTATTTTAGTGTAGATATAAATGCTGGCCTGCAGGAAAGATCAGAAGTGTTTATGGTGTTTCAGAGTGTGATTCTTCATAGCAACACCAATTTGTTCCATGATGGAAACACACAGTGGAAATTTTTTTCAGAATGCATTTTTTTCATTTCATCAGTTATTTCTTTACTGTGTTGATTGGCAGTTTCATTCATTGTCTGACATACATTGTTTGGTCAATAGGCTATCTAACATACATTTTAAATGATAAGACCCACCTTATATATGAGTTCTGCTTGTTTGTGACTTGGGTTTGTAACAGAGTGCAAACAGATAAAAACATTCTGGTTACTTGAAAATGTTTTGTTCCCCTTTTTTTTGGTCTTTTTTTTGCTTTCTTTTTACTCTTTCATGCTAATAGTAGCTGAGGCATATGTCTAAGTCAAAGTATTAGCATGGTATTGCTATCTAGGTTAACTTGCTGGTTTTATGTTATTTAAAGAATCACAAAAACATCCATATAAAAAAAAAAAAAAAGAAAGGTTGCAAGTTGAGCTCCAAATGAGTGAGTTGCATGAAAGTGTGTGCGCAATAGCTTCTTAAGGCAGTTATGTTTATACACTGTAAGCCTATGATTATAAATCAGATTTTTTTGTGGGTTTTTTAATTTAAATATGAAGTTCAGGCTGTCCCAGGAGGTTTTATCTCCTGTAATAATTACATATTCAGGTATTAAATGTAATTACATTTTAAGGTATTTGCTCCTGTAGCATGCGTAGTATGTTCATTGGCCCCGGCGTCCTTCTACAAGCTGAAGGTACACTCGCACGGAGGAGACCATGTCCGAGGCTAAGGAATTCAGAGCTTGATCGCAAGCCTTTATGCCTGTGATAAACGTCCTGCAGTAGCACAGGGTCAAGCGCAGTTATTCTTACATTTTCACGTCTGTGCTGTTATGCATTTGGTTGTTTCGTCAACCAGAAATTCTGCATTTATCAATAGAACAACTGAAGCACCAGTGGAAAATTTCTTAATTCCGAATGGTTCCCCTCACTGCACTCAAGAATATATTTTGAGTATGAATAATTTTACATCTCTGTGCCTGCAAGTTTTGTTAGATGTTTAGTGATGATGGTTTTGTATATTATTCTATGAGCTCACAATGGAACTTGAGCTACTAAGCTTATTTCATATCATACAATGAATGAAAGAACTTTTGTTATTCTGCTAAAACTGAACTTAAATCGAGAGGAGAAAGATTCTGCCATTCAAAAACCTCTTGAACACGCACGTTTGTTATGTTTCTAGTCTAAGCACGTTACTTGGTTTAGGATTTTGGCCCTTTTATCAATCTGAACTGTGCTTCATTTTCTGGTGATTCCAGATTAAGTCTAATGGATGCCCACCTGAAAAATTCCATCCCCCCAAAAAATGAACTAATAATTTACCCAATTAGAGGTTTTGCAGTATTAATACCCATCTGTTGCGTCAACTAGTTTTCAGTTAAGAGTGGCACGATGTAAGTATCGGACCTGTGTTAGGGAGGCCGTTACCGGAGGGGAGGGCTGTGTCTCCACTGATCCCTGGGCATATTTCAGAGTCCAGACCGGTCAGTGAACCATGTATTGAAGAAAAAGCTAGAACAATGCTAGTAGGAAATAAAGTGGCAATCAGAAATGGAGAGAGAGAATAAATGGCTTTGCAATAATATATTATCTGTCAAATGCCTTTGAACTAAGATGTTTGGCTCCATGTGTCTGCAGTTCATAGTTTTGATAAATTTTAATATGGCACTTCTTTTCTTCCATGGTCAAGAAACAGAAGCTGTTAATTTTACCAGTCCTTGAAACTGGTGTAAAATTGATGATGGTGCTGACGACTGTCACATGAAACAAATATGAGTTGAGTTAGAATGATTTTATCTCCAGCTAAGGTCTTCAGGGTAGGTCTGCTGTACTCGTGGGTAATGACTTTGTAAAGGGTTCCAGCTAGTTTGGCAATCAGCGTGCATATTCATGAGACTTTGATCACCGTACGTATACGATAGGGAAGGTAATACATTTAAAACTCACAAGAGGATAGATCAGATTTAGGTTCTCCCCCAGCTCTGCCACCGACCAGCTAAATGTCTATAGACAAGGTATTTTATTTTATTTTTATGTCTCAGTACTCCATGTATTCAATAGAGACCATGAAATGCACGTCGTTTAAGTTATCTGATATTTGGATGCATTCAGGATCATTAGGAATTAATATTGTAGAATGCACTGCTGTATATATCTACATATTTATACTGCAAATATTTATACTTAATTACCTCCAACATTCAAAGTAAATTGTTGCCTTCCTCTGCACCACAGTGGCAACAGAGAATGTATAATGACGTTTTACAAAAGCAAAATGCATCAGAGTAGGGAGATACTGCAGTTCCCTCCCAAGAGGAGCACTTGAAATGTTGAAATGTTCGGTCCTGATCGTACTGCTTAGACACCTACCATACAAGGAGTAATATATATATATATATTATATATAATATAATATATTATATATTTTTTATCGGGGAAGAAAAGGCTCCTGGGAGATCTTATTGCGGCCTTCCAGTACCTAACGGGCCTACAGGAGAGCTGGGGAAGGACTTTTTACTGGGGCATGTAGTGACAGGACGAGGGGGAATGGCTTCAGACTGGAAGAGGGCAGGTTTAGATTAAAAATTAGGAAGAAGTTTTTTACTTTGAGGGTGGTGAGGCACTGGCCCAGGTTGCCCAGAGAGGTTGTTGAGGCCCCATCCCTGGAGGTGTTGAAGGACAGGCTGGACGTGGCCTTGGGCAACCTGGTCTGGTGGGAGGTGTCCCTGCCCATGGCAGGGGGTTGGAACTCGATGATCTTCAAGGTCCTTTCCAACCTAAACCCTTCTATGATTCTATGATATCAGAGTTACTTAATTTCTCCTGGGACCTATTTTCCAGTTTCTTTGGGAATGCCAGGAAACGGGGCAAGGCAGGAATAGCCGATAAGGCTGTTGGCTCGGTGCTACTCCTGGTTCCAGAAACGCACGACTTGTAATGATGGCTTTGATATTATTTGGGATGGCAGTCAGAATCTTCTGCTATGTTTCATAGGCTTATGGAAAAAGATGAATTTTAAGGAGAGCATTTGAAATGCAGAGGGTATTGATCTAGCACCCATTTACAAAACTGTTCCAAACATAAGGCGACGTGTGGAGAAAGAGCGCGTAGGGTGAGATTACAAAGAGGATGTGCTGAGCAAAGCTGGCGTGTGGGAGGAGAGTGTAGAGGAGTACTGGGAGCGAGGAGATGGGTTAGACGCCTCCGACATCAATCACTATAAAGGCAAGGCGTACGGGAGGGGGAGAGGAGAAGGAGAGAATTGGAGAGGATGCCCAATTAGAAGCTGAAGTCATTGAAATCAGGGTTTGTAAGTACCATTTAAAAGTTGTTTTATTAACAATGGGGAGAAAGGACTTACTGCTAAAGAGATTTGTAGAAGGAGCGAGCTCACACTTTAATACTGCAACAGTGTGTGTCATGTAAATATTTGAATAAATCTTTTAATCATCTTTTCCTTCTGCTATGTTGTAGAAACTAAAAAAAAAAAAACCAAAAAAAAACCCACACAAGCTCTGCTTATTTCTTTCACACCACATTTGTAAATGCATACAGGAAGAGATTGTG